TGGCCTATAAATGTAATCTCTGCCGAATCAAACTCCACCCAGCTTAACTGTCGGTGTTGGCCACATACTAAAAAAGTTATGTGCCTGCTGTTATCTATCACAGCTTGGTAACAGTAAAATTGTGCCTTGTCTGTTTATTGTTGGCAAAGATTCTGCAAAGTCCCATTATTTCTCCTTGAATCCACACATAAACATTGAATGGGACAGGACTAAGAATGAAAGTCCTTTCCTGGTTAACACATTTCCCCTAGGCCCATCTGTTACCCTCGGAGCAGTATCAAAGCACTGCTGCTAAGGAATAGTGTGAGGAGAGCTGGGAGGGAGTACGCTCTTCTTTATTCAAGGAAAACAGAGGATGATCCAGGAATTCCACCAATTCTGTTTATCTTTAAATAGAATGATTCACGTTGCCTTGCAAGCATAACAACTGATTTACAGAAAACTGTTTAAACAAAAACAACAGTTATCCTCTTGCCTCACTACTGAGGATTTTTGCTTTCCTGGTAGAACACAGCCACACCATCTTTGGAGTTGCTCAGGGTATATGAGTGAGAACCTCTTAAAACAAAAAAAATCATAAGCTGTTATTACTGTGAAAATGATAATCACTGAAGTAGTTACTCTTTAAAGAGTCCTAATTTCAAATTTGGGTTAAAGATGATTGGACTAGAATATTACATGTAGACATATGCTCTTTGTTCGTTTTTTGGTAGCTTCTCTACAACCCAACAGCAAAGGCTATAGCATCCCAAGACACTGGTTGAACTGATGCCACAGAAATTGAAATGGATGTGAAAGATGAACTGCCTGATTTGGACACCTTCCAGATGAAAGCACTTGGCCCAAACTGAAGACAGACAATGGCTGCTTAACGGATTGCTTTCAAAAAGCAAAATATACATTCATCTTTTTCTCATTCAACCAAGAAAACACTCCTTATCTAAAAGGAGAAGATGCCTTCGTCTAGGAGCGAAAAAACAGATTTAGATGGTTCCACAGATTGGCAATGAAGAACATTAGGCCTCCTAGCAACCTTCTTCAGCACCCTCCACATGCAGACTTGGCTCTGCATTTCCACTGCCTACTGTACATGGCAGTCATATACTTTGGGATATGACTGTATATGGAGTCTGCGTCTGGCAGCCCTGAATAGTAGGTGGTCTGAATCGCTCATTACTCTCATGCCATCGCATTCGGGGCAGCAAGCTAAGCAGTGTGAACAGAGCTCTTGGGCATGCAAACAGAAGAGAAAAACATTATCCTTTGTGCTCAACTCTTGAACAGTTCTTGCATCATTTCCTTAATGTACAGTGAACTGAGATGCAAGCCCTCACACAAGCCCTTAGAAATTCTCTGGGGGCTGCTCTTTCCAAGCATTGTCTAGCCAGATACTGTGGGATGTTTTTTTGCTGTCTGAAAATATCCCCGTCTTATTTTTATGAACAATTTTCTTCTGTTTAAGAAACCACTGTCGTATCTTTTATGCTAAAATCTTTAAAATACTTTGTAATTATTTACATTGCGCCTTGGCTAAAGCAGTGTGCTAGAGAGGATTTAGCCAGGCAGCAAAAAGCTTCAATTTAGGGAAGGAGGTGGCGTTTCCCCTGAACCTGTTTCTGAGGTAAAAAATGTTTTCTGCGGCAAAATGCCTCTGACAGCAAGTTTGTATGGTTCTGTCCCTGCATGTTTCTTGACTGCCTCCTTCTTTCTTTAATAAAGACTGTATATCATGTGTCAAACTTGATTTATTTTTACAGCATTATAAATGCATTTCGTACAGAAGATAATTCATAACATCAGTTTTAATACAGCACAACTACTTTAAGACTGTACTTCCTAAGAATTCATAAGAAGCCACAGGTATATAAATGCCCTCTTCTGGATTTTCAGGTACTTATTGTCAAAAATCACTCAAATACAGAGTCCTAGGTATGACATCAACCGGAAAAAGAGAAACTTTGGTACTTACTGATTTTTGCATATGAAGAAATTTTTCGTTATACAGACAGACAGTAAGCACTAACTGCTGTGTACACAATTCCTGTCTATCAGCCCTGGTTTCTATTTGAGGGCGTTTCTTCTTCCTCACACAGGCAGCCTTGTCTGCGCTTCGAAACTGCACCAGTCCAATTGTGTTAGTGTAGTACAAGCACACAGGGTAGAAAATATAGGAGTGTTTTATACCCACGCAAATACTGTGATACAGGAAGGCCAAAACGTAAGGCTTTTCTATACTCGCAAAAATGCACCTATGCCGAAGTACGAGTAGCACAGCTGTAAAGGTATAAAATTAACAGAGGTGCACATGTGCATACCCACATATACACACCCACCTCGCAAAACAGATCTTCAGAAACTTGTCAGCACACCCTGCCAAAAATGGTATGTCCAAACCCTCCCCTTCATTACAAGGGTGCTGCGGCTTGTGTGAACGTGCCAAGATTCTGACCTAACTTTTCGACCTCAAGAAACCATAGGCAGGGCTCCAGGCTGACACCTCTCCATGTTGACTTGCCCGTAAGCCCTCACTGGACTCAGGAAGCCAGAAAAATGACCCGGCTCCCGAGTAAGGCCTTCAGCGGAGAGCCCGTGCGCAGCGGACAGAGGGACGGCGCCAGGCCTGCGAGGGCTGCAGGCCGAGGCGGAGTTCCTCGGGGCGGCCGGCATG